TTCGAGCAGATCTGTTGTGAGGGAACGGACTGGGGCCGGGGCGTGTGCACATTTTTCGCAGAGGTCGAAGCCGCTGTTGCTGCATCGAAATGTGACGGTAAAGACCTTCAGCCAACTGGACTGGCAAGCGATGGGGGCAGATGGTACTCAATGGTAGCGATGTGTCACGAAGAAAGCGAAAACAACACCAAAATCAAGTTTGACATGTTGGGTGTAGTAACTTTTAAGGTTTAGGATGGCTGCCCTGACCCCAAAAAGGAAAACACCTTTAAAAACATAGGCAAAACCATACAAAAACAAGCAGAGAGCAACAGAAACACCAAAATCAAGTTTGACATGTCGGGCGTAGTGACTTTTAAGGTTTAGGATGGTTGCCCTGACCCCAAAAAAGGAAAACACCTTCAAAATATAGGCAAAACCCATACAAAAACAAGCAGATAGCGAAAACAACACCAAAATCAAGTTTGACATGTCGTGAATAATCCTGTTGCTGACAGGATGGCCTCCAAATCGGAGCGAATAGAATCTTCAGCTGTATGTCCGAGGGTTGCCTCCCGGATGCCAAAATCGACGGGCAACATCAGCGTGATTCAGCGTGGCATACACATTTGACAAAGATTGCACAAGTACTGCAAAGGCCTACACGGGCAGGCATTCGAGCAGATCTGTTGTGAGGGAACGGACTGGGGCCGGGGCGTGTGCACATTTTTCGCAGAGGTCGAAGCCGCTGTTGCTGCATCGAAATGTGACGGTAAAGACCTTCAGCCAACTGGACTGGCAAGCGATGGGGGCAGATGGTACTCAATGGTAGCGATGTGTCACGATGATGCATCTAGAAACCAAATGTCATGGCAGAAGCCCGGACGGCTTGCGGGACTTGGCAAAGACTCTTCCCATTGCAACTGGCCTGCGAACATGATCTGCCAAGCGCATCTTTGAAAGTCGTGGCATGAGAACAGAAACAGCACCATGGTGTCCGCATCTCTCCAAGTGCGCGACCACTGCGGCATCCACCGGTGAAATCGCGACCGCCGCGCACCCAACCGCTGGAAGCTTCTTGGGCAGCTGTCGTGTGGTTTCGGATAAGAACAACAACGTGCACTGTAAGCAAGAGCCAAAGAGAAACAAGCAACCACATTCGATCAACATCTGGGCGATCAGCATGTTTGGTTGGCTGAGGTCAAGCCTTCAAGGTTCAAGGAGATCGTTACACATGGCACGTTCCGTGACCACATGCATAGGCGTGCTTGCATTCTGTAGAACGCACAACTTGACGCTGCTGGCCATCTGCCAACTGGCGAGAGCTAACGCAGACACAGCAAAAACATATCTCAAGCAGAGTGGCTTGGACTTAGCTTCTCGCTAAACCGTTCACAGCTCAGGTCTCTTGACGCTCTTCACCAACAGCATTGTCGCGTGGACGTTGCACTTCTTGACGTGGTCCGGCATCTGCGTTTTGCCGTCTGCGCAGTAGCCAGTTCAGTGAGTCGTCGTCCAAATCGCCTGCTTTTCGCAGGAGGCGGCGGCGCTTTCTGACCTAAAGGAAAACTGCTTCGCACACTGTCACACTGCATCAAAGCAGGCTACGCAAAAAACAAGTGCTCTTCTTGAGGATAGCAGCTTCGTTCTTGAGGGCTTTGCTGGCGCGCTTCAGTTCGTCCTGGCAAAAAAGGCACGTGTATGGGCAGCGTGCGCGCATAGGACAGAAAAGTCTCTTGGCACCTTCAGCTCTTGCCGCTGCCTTTTGAGATCTCGTACAACATCGCCAGCAGCAGCTTCGGCACTCATGGCTGCAGCAACTACCGTGGCGCATGCACACGTCTCTCTTTCCACCCACTTGAGGACACACGAAGCTCCCGCTCAGAAACATTGCACACGCTGGGCCCTACTTCCAGCACCAAGAACGCATGGTCCTTTCCACCATGTTGCACCTTCCCCAAGCAGTATTGAAAGCGCTCACCAGTGCTAGGACTTGGCAACATTGTATTTCTTCCTGCAAGCACACTGTGAGTGCATGGTGTGTGAGAGGGCATAAGACAGTGCCTTATCCCTTTAAGGCAGCCCACGGTCGTTGTGGTACAAGGAAGAATAAGCTGAAAACACAGACTTTGGCTGATTTTCCATGCAGCCTGAGCACTTGCACCTGGCCTGCTAGGCCTTTTGGCGTTGTCTGGGATTCCAACACCAATGTTACCCTCGATACTTCTACCACCAGGGGCGGTCTGCATCCTCCACCCATGTGGGGGCATCTTCATCGCTCATTGGGGTCTCCCTTCTCCGTCATGGTGAGGGTTGACATTACCTAGGCGGACTACTGATCTGGGCTTGGAGTGGCAAGGTGGGCATTAAAGCGCAAGGCTTCCGTGCGCCTGGTTATGTTTAGCTGGACCCCCAGGTCTCTTCCTGGCACGACCTCGATGCTAGATTCGGTTGCTGAAAAAGAGCTTCGCATTTTGCAACCTCTACTTGGTGCCACAAGGATCCGCCCTAGGCCTTGAAGAAGGAAGTGAACTTCCTGTGGACGAAGTTGCAGCGAGGAACGGGTCACTCAGCAGCTGCAAGTTCGGCATCGTTCCTTCTCTTCTCACTGGCTGTAAACTCGTCGCTGGCGTTGAGGTAGAAACTTTTTCCAAGGCAGCAAAAGGGTTCGGTTGCTGTCCTACCGGAGTCTCACCGGTTCCAAACAGCAAGACTTCCTCCTTGGGAGTGTTGTCAGGAACTGGGACTTGCTCAGGCAACGCTCCATGCACTAGAGAACCTGTGGTCTTCCCTGCACACTTTCGCTTGCTCTGGAGTCGCCATGGCGTTGAGGTAGAAACACAGGCAAAGCAGAACTCGCGCAGCAGTATCTTTTTCACTTCGCACTTGAGCCAACACCAAAGTGTTCAAGCTTCAGAAGTCCACTCTGCTCCTACTCCCATCCTTGAACTGCAACGAGCGCGTGGAGAGTATCTCAGCTTTTTCACTCTTTCTTCTTGGTTTCCTTGTTTGCTTCGCTTGCCACAAGAACGGCCTACTGTGCTACTGATGTAGTAAAGAGGCGTCCGCTTTGAAAAAAAAACCCCAGGAGGGTTTGATGTCACCAGCTTCAGATGACGTCTTTGGTAGAACCTCTTGTGAAGGAGAAAACGCAAGGAGCACCAGCCGCCAAGTTAGAGAGTTCAGGGTTGTCACTCCAGTGACAAGGGCATGGACGTGGATGAGGGTGGTGGAGCCATCCGGAATCCCAAGGCTGAGCACTACGTCCCGAAGTTGCCATCCATCGATGCAAGTCGCATGAACAAGGGTCGTCGATCCGAGATCGAGGGTTGGTCGGACTTCGTTGACGTTTTTGCCCTGGATAGCCCTGTTTGACGACAGGATTCCACACGAGGTGGAGATGGCAATGGCTGGAAAGACTACCATCTTGAACCGAACGTTGGAGAAAGGGCAAAGTGTGCGTTCGACACGTCTGGTCCTGTATCTTAGACAAGCCATGCAAGGGTACAGCAGGGGTTTGGACATCCTGAAGTGGAGAAGGAGCAGCTCGGTGTTCCGGCAGGGTACGAGGCCATTCGCAACAGAGGCTGTCCGTGGACAGCCTTTAGGGGGGGGCGGGACGTGCTGCATAAGAGAGAGCTAGGAGGCTAGGAGGCCGTGTTTACTCGATTTACCCGATTTACCCGATTTACCTCGGGCGGGTGCCGGGTCGCGCGGGCTCGAGTCGGCCGGGTCGCGCGGACAAACGGCATCCCATGAATGAATTGAGGTTGCAGGATCCAGAAGGTTTTCTGCTTGTGGCCCTTCCAGAAGTTGAGAGTCAACCCACAAGGTAGTTTCCCAAAATAAGGGGACCCCAATATAGACCCCAAAATACTATAGTCCTTAATATGGGGACCCCCAATAAGGTACCCCTAATTTTGGGAAACCCTCATCTAAGGAAGCACCAGAAGGTGGAGGATGACATCGAGGCCAATTTGGAAACCCATCTATTCTTACCATGTTGTGGGGGTGTCCCAGAACAAGGGTACCATTTTTGGGGTCCCTATAAAAGGATTATAATATGTTCGGATCTATATTGGGGTCCCCTTATTTTGGGAAACTACCTTGTGGGTTGACTCTCAACTTCTGGAAGGGCCACAAGCAGAAAACCTTCTGGATCCTGCAGCCTCAATTCATATTGACTTGCATGGAGGAAGTCAGCGCAGGAAGAATTCCCAGCAAGGACGCACAAGCGATCAAATGATACTGCGTAACGTGCCGATTTCTCATGTTCACTTGTGCCTTCATGGCCACTCGATAACCCCCTAGCAAGACCTTCGAAAAAGGACTTGCAATCAAAGTTCACTCATGGTAAGACATTGCTTCAAGGTTTATGATGCAGCACTACCCGAAGCAATGCCCGAGGGATCTTTTCGAGAAGTCTTTTCCTGCCTCACGGAAGGGCAAGGTCAAGGTAATCTGCTCCTTGGCAGCAGGGCAGGCGCTGCTTAACGCTGCTTGCTCTTGGCGGCAAAGCGCCACGAGCTTGCGTCTCAAGAAGCTGAGAGGAAGGCCCGAAATCATGGTTTGCAGCATCGGCTGAAAAAAGATAGAAGATGAGACTAAGAACGACAACAATAGCAGTAATGAATATGATGACAAAAGATAATAACGCATCATAATCAGAAGTCAAATAACCAGAATGAAATATTCACAACCAAGATATTGTTGCAGCAAGGCGCCCTCGCCGCCGCCCTCACCACCTCGGCGCTGAGCAGGAAAAGCTTGGTCTGCTTCTGGTGGTCTTGCTGAGGTTGAAAGGGAACTATGTAGGGATTATACAGGAACTGTATTCCCATAGACCCTACTACGCACCAGTAAGTAGTTGTAGCATCAGCAGCATGCTGTAGCACTGTACTTGCAAAGAATGTTCCGCTCTTTGCTGACGACCCGCCTCGACAACCCGCGCTCTGAAGTCCAGCAGCAGGGGGAGTAGCAGTGGTTGTAGTTGTTTCTCTGAACTTCCGTACGATTGCAAGATGGCTGTTTACACCTCGCTTGTGATGCTGGTTCTGGCGGCGGCTGATTTCGAATGGATGGTAGCTGAAGGCTATTCCTGCAGCACGGCGGAGAATCGCCAGGACTGCGAATGTTGGTTTTGCCTTAATGCGGCGGTGGATATGTTTTCCAAGAACTATCCTGCACGGTCTGATTGCTTGTCCTCCTTCCTTGGAGGGTTTGCTCCAGATTTTGTGGATAAGCCTAGCCCACCGATGCAATCCCGCAGCATTGGCAGAGCATGTGACGAGCATTTCGCGGAGGCAGTCTGGCACTATTCTCAGTGCATGTGCCCGTTGCTGGAAGCTCACTTCGACGATGTGGCAGAATACTGCTCAGACCAGTGCACTGGGCCACTCATGCCCCGGCCCGAAGAAGATGCGGTCGAGAAAACCATCGGCACCGTCTTAAATGTCTTCGGCTTGGATACTGTGTGCCCTTTAAAGGTCAGCTGCGCCTTGTCAGCTGGTCCGGCTCGTCCTAGCAGCCCCTCGCGACATCATGCGTCAGATGCCAAATCAAGCGTGGACCTTCACCTAAAAATGGGAGTCGCTGTGACAGATTCAACCGAGGGTAAGCAGTACACCTACTCTATGGAAGCCACTGCTCAAACCAGCTATGCGCAGATGACTTCTGCTGCCTGGACTGTTATTGCTGGCATTATGCCAACACTTCTTTGATGCAGGAAGTGGTTTCGTTCTAAGTGATGTACAGACCAAACACTAGGCCACTGTGCTTGAAGATTTAAGCCCCGACTCAAATCCTGTCGTCTCACTTTCTCAGCGTCATACGGCTAACATCCGTGATGACGTTGAGTTCTGCGCCAGCCCAGCGCGCAGGACTCTAATACCGGAACTTCTTACGCGTTCAAGATTGCAGGTTTCCAGATTTGGGGCTGCAGATCAGATGTGCTTGGAGGTTGTGTGTGCGTGTGTATGTGGAAGGTTGTGTTTGCCGCAACACATGGCAAACTTCAAATAACAAAGTAGCCGGTAGCAGCCGGCAAGGCAGTGGAGTGTAGTCTTCTCAGTAATTCGGTTTAGGGTCCAGGGTCTCATTTCTATTGTAGTAAAGGAATCTTTAAGACCATAATAATTAAAACTAATACGTTTTTTTGTTTAATATGCCTAGGGGGGATTACGCAATACACGGCAGGGAACGTTTAGGGATGAAATATCTTGAAGCTGTTAATGCGTGTTTAATCAGTAGCGGTATAACCCATAAAATTGTAGGTATGAACCCCTACATAATCTCAGTTTCCATTTCATTTTCCATGTTCTTTTCCATTCCCATAAAACTGTAGGTAATTGGGGCTACAGGTGGGGCCTGTGGAGTTCTTGGAGTTGCCAAAGTTGAGACCTTAGAGGCTGAGAAATTCCTATATCTAAGGCTCTAAGGGTCCATGTACCCAATAATTGGGTACCTGGGATTTTAGTACTTTAGGGTTTGAGGTTTGTAGCTATAGTTTAGGGTGTAAGGTTTCGGGTATAATGACCCCAAGAGTCCTTGTGCCCGAAAAGTGGTTAGCTGGGATCTGGGTGCTAAAAATTAGTATTTCAGGCTTTGGGTAAGTCTATGATCATTGGGCACTTGGACCAGTAGTCCCTTTGGGTATGTAGTTGGGCGAACTCCGAACCCCTTGAGCCCCCAAGATTCTACTCCCCAAACGCAACCTTCATCTCCAAAATCCTACCCCAAAAACGCAACACAGGGTCCAGGGGGGCGGAAGGCTGGAGGGCTTGGGTTGTGGTTGGAACTTGCTTGCTGCGAGCCGGCTCAACATGGACATAGCCGTGTCTTGGAAAGCCAAGCCTTCGAAGTAAACTTCAACCTATCGCACCCAATTCCCCGGACCCAGGCGCCCGGAATTACTCGCCTTCAGGCCCAATGAAGCCTAAACCCAGAAACCCTGAAGGCCCTACATCCATAAACCATCATAAACCCATAAACCGAGGCTTAAATCTAGCCTTTAAGTATGGCTCTTCATTTGACCCTTATATGCGATGTGGATGCTTGCTCCACACGACTCAACTCGAAGCATGTCACTCTTAGCGATCGTTTCGGATATATATGGGAAAGAGAAACCTCGCGTTGTGGCCTCAAGATAGGGACTCTCCTTCCTCAGCTTGGCGCCACATGCCGCGTATCGCTAAGTCCATTAAGTCCGCTGAGAGCTCTGCAGCAGGCTTGATTTACGCCCTCATTGACCACAGGTGATGGAGACCATGAGGGGCCGCGCCTTGATGGCCTGGTACCTTCGAAAGCGAGGTGCGAGTCCAAAGCTCTGTCAGTGTTTTGCCGGATTCCTTGCCGAACCGGAAGGGGCAATGCGTCGCTTCCGTCGTTCATTGCTGGTCATACGGGTATACAGCAGCTCAGAAACCTTTGTGGCTATCAAAATTCGGGCTGTTCGAATGCAAAAGAGCCGACATAACCGTAGTGAACCCAAAATGGGGCCCTCATACAACTTCGACAAGCTAAGTGCGGGATGCAACTCGGCCGATGGAAAGGTGCTGCGCATGTGTGTTCCACCCGATTGAACGAGGTTGTTCTGCTCAGGCGCACGTCGGGATGAAGGCGATGAAGTGAGCAGCTTTGGCCGCGCGGTTCAAAGCGCTTCGCCAGGTCCCGAGGGCCTTAGGGCCTGACTCCCAAAGCACTGGAGGGCCTGACTCCCAGTACAGGAAATCACACCGACCGTGTTCTTGAACACTACAGCTCAGACCCCTGGAGACCCCCGACACATGTCCCCCACACCCAAATCCTGCAAGGGATCCAGAGGATGCAGGGCTGCTGAGGCTGCTAAGGCGGCTGAAGTGCATGACAGTTGCGCGCATCTCCTCGCAGCTTGCGCTACCGAACCCAGAAGAGAAGCAAGGCAAACCCCCATGTTAAATAGATGAGGCCCTAAACCCCAAACCCTCGAAAACCCTAAACACGAAACCCTAAGCCTTAAACCTTAATCCCTAAACCCCTAAACCCTAAACCCTAGATGCGCACAGTGAACGCCATGAGAAACCCGGTGCTGTGGTCTCTGCTCTCCCTCACCTCTGCTACGTGGGAGCCCGAGTCGCTGCAACTCTTGCAGCAAAGGCCTCTGTTTCTTTTTTGGTTTCGGGTTTTGCGTTGAGGGAGTAAGGATTTATGATTAGGTCTTCTTTTTCTTGGGGGTTTGAGGTTGAGCTCTTGGGTGCATTCTGGGGCTTGTTGGCTGGGACGAGGGTACTTTTTGTCGCACCGCGGCCGCTTCAGGCTTTGACAGGCTTCGTACTTTCATTCCCTTTTGAGGATCCTGTTGTAGCACGCAGGCTCATGTACTTTACAGACCAGGCACCCCAAATGTGGGAGGCGTATACCAAGCAAGGACAACTGGGTTGGGGTAGAGGGCGTAGAGTACTCAACATTTCTGCCTGCTGGTCGAGTTGGCATGTAAATCCCAACCCTATATCTTACAGTAAACGCATAAAACCATCCCTAATCCTAAACCCTTAAATCCGAGACTCCTTGACCTCCCAGGACTTGGTTATGACACGATAGCATGCCATGGTGTACCATAGTGTACTCTAGTATGCTATGGCGTGCTATAGTGGCAATTGCACTCAGACTCTGCTGCCTTCCCAAATTCTGTTAGTCTCGAGCTAATCGGATTCCCAGATGCTGTTGTAGCGCCACATGCTTCCTCAAAACAAAGCGTTCCATGTGTTATTGCATTCCCAGGAGCATTTCCAGAAAGCTTCGCTGCTGTAGCTCCCCTTTCTGCGTCTAGAGGAATAATATGGTGGCCACTTTGGTGGCGTAATGGGCTTTAGAGTCTTCGGGTTTCAGGCTTTGGGGTGTAGGGTTGAGCCTGACCTGCGTTAGCAGCAAAACACCCAAGCTACATCCAGGGTGACCGTAAAAAGTCACAGAGCCCCTTCTCAACCCCACCACCTGCCAGGCTGACCATTGAGGATGCCAAGGAGATCCCGACGCCGATGTGCCTTACCAGAAGAGATCCAGGGTTTAGGGTTTAGGGTTTAGGGTTTAGGGTTTAGGATTGATAGGCTTTAGGGTTTAGGGTTGCTGCCAGTCTGCCTTGTTAGGTGTCGCACGTGGCCCAGGGGTGCTCCATTCGACGTCAGGTCTTCTTGTGATCGGAAAGATTCCAGCTTCGAAGGCTGCCAAACAGCGTAGGGAGAGCATTAGGGTTTAGGGTTTAGGGTTTGGGGTTTAGGGTTTAGGGTCTAGGGCCAATATACAGTGCAGCTCTAGGCATGTTGCATGAGGAAGCATGGCATAGAATCCATCGGCTCTTCCGGGTTTCGTAAGGACGCCGCGGATTTTTGTGGGTATCAAAGGGGATGACTTCGGAGATGTTCGGAGAAGCATCCTCAGCCTACGAGGCTTGGGCTTCAGGCGTGAGCTCTGTGGCTTGCTTTTAGACATTATAGTCGCGTATAGTAGCAGCACAAGAGCGTAGAGGACAAACATAGCAGGTTGCCCTCTATTTTCCGTTCGATGGAGTGGCCCGCAGAGCATCTGGGTTTGGCATTTTCGCTGGCCATGTGCATGTACCCGAGCTGTGGATGCCGACGCTCTACTTTGTTTTCTCTCTCTTCCCGTAATGACGTCTCACGCGAGGCGCGCTCCCTCCATCGTGTAAATCTTGTTCTCGAAATGGGCAACCTCCCCACCCCCACTGTGGCAAAGTGCTGCTTTGCTTGCCGTTTCCATCAAAGCAGCCATTGCCTTAACGCGTCGAGCTACAGAATTCTGCTGAAGTTGATGCGTCCAAAGAGGCGGACCGGGAAGCTGCCACACGTCACTTACGTTCCGGGACACGTGCAATTTCCAGGAGGCGACTTAACATGCGAGCGGCTAGCTTGTACTTTCCCTGCACAGGGGCGGAGGTTGTCCGAAGGAAAGATAAAGGCCTCACTGACCTACTTCCCTGTCCTTGGGGTCTTTTTGCCTTACAGCTAAGATTCCTCGCCGATGCTTCCGGGCCGAAGGGTTTTTCAGACCTCCTCCAAAGCTGACGTGAATCACGAAAGCATTGAAAACCAAGGACCTGGGTCCACTTTCCAAAGTGTGGGAGTTCCTTCCTCAACGTGCTGATCCACATGCCTGGCTTCTGCCAGATCCCGGCAAACCTGTCTGTTGATCAGGACCGAGTATGGCTTAGGGCTTGGGATTGTTGAGTTGCTTTACTTTACTGCGCCGCATTGCATGAATCAGGTTATGGCATGGTCTAGCCTCATTTCCGCTGTAGTATGCTTTTGTACACCATGGTGCACTTTACGTATACGGAAGTACCCTGTATACTGTACAGCAGGTTGGTGCAGTGCAACAAACAGTATAGTTGCAGCCACTATAGGCTTCCTGTTGAGCCCCACATCCAGACACTGCGGGTTTCAGGGCTTGGGCCTCGGGTGCTGGAATGGAGGCGGCCCCAGCTCTTCCGATTAAGGGCATACAGACATCGGAGAGTCCGAAACCTTACCAGCTCTGCTACAAGCCCCCACAAACGCCAGGCCAAGCTTGATTTCAGGGCTTGGGGTTGAGGGCACCCGAAGCTTTGAACTTTGAATCTGAAAGGGAGGAATACAGAAGACCGCAGATCCCAAAAATGAAAAGTTGGAACAATTGAGCTTGCTGTCCGAGGACGTGTTCCCTCGCGACGCAATGATGAAGGACTGGGTGAAGGCGGGCTTGCGGTTTGGTTGGGTTTGGTTTGGGCAAGTGCCTTAGGCAGGAGCCAGTGTAGAAGGTTTGGAGGCTATGTCCTGCCCATGAGCGTCTGCTTTGGGTTCGGCATATACTGCTAATAGTCAAGTTTAGCAGCTTAGCATGCGGTATAACATAGTATATAGTGCTATATGTAGTACTGTATACACTATATAGTACGATATAGTACGATATTGTACTCTTTTGTATTATATCGTACTACATCGTACTATTTGAGTCTGGGACGGAGGGCTGGTTTGCCCTACGCTCGTCAAACTTCTTTGTAGCAGACAGGTCTGCCCAGAATTTTGTGACTTGGGCCTGCTTCGCTGCCCGCTGAGCCCTCACGGGTGCATCGGCAACAGGCGCGGGGGGGGGGGGGGGGCAGAGCACAGTACAGTTACAACAGCGTATATCTTTTTTCTATATTGGACTTTGTAAAAAACCCTAAACCCTAAACCCTAAGCCCTAAGCCCTAAGCCCTAAACCCTAAACCCTAAACCCTAAACCCTAAACCCTAAACCCTAAACCCTAAACCCTAAACCCTAAACCCTAAACCCTAACACCCTAACACCCTAACACCCTAACACCCTAACACCCTAACACCCTAACACCCTAACACCCTAAACCCTAAACCCTAAAACCCTCAGACAGATAGCATATATGAGAGCTAACAGGATGCCATGGCTCTGGGTTCTCCCAGCGTGTACGGAATAGAAACACCAGCCTCAGGTAAGCACTAATCGCTATCTATCTGAGGGTTTAGGGTTTAGGGTTTAGGGTTTAGGGTTTAGGGTTGTACCTGGCAACTCAACTTCCGAAAAAGCTCTGAGAATTGTCAGGTACAACAACTTAAAGGGGCACATGGTCGGACTGTTCCGTCAGCCTGAGCAACGTCTCCTCTCGGCGTGCCTTGAACGCAATGGCACTGATAAGAGTTTATGGGTCCAAGGTCATATAAGGTTGCCTTTGAGGTTTTTTGTTTCTGAAAGGTACTTGCAACAGATCCCGCGAGGCAACCGGGAGCCCTATCTGAGAACCCCAGCTTGCTGCGTTTTTGAGGCCCTTTTCCGTCTCGCTTCTGCTCTCTCGAAGGTCGCATTCTCTGGGCGTCTCCAATACATTCCAAGACCACCTCAAGAGCTTCAGACCTTACCGTTCCTTGCTCCAGGGTGTGTAAAATGGCCCAAACCATAGCCAACTCTCTCAAAGAACTCTAAAGTGCTACCGTTGACAAAAAACTGCGATCGGTTTTTGAACTGCTGGGTGCAAGCCATGACGAGGTACTACGACCCAGACCACACTTGGCTCGGTGAGGAATCTGATGCACCGGAGCCCCCGCTACCAGAGTTTGCTCAACTCTGGAAGGGCGGCGTGGCCGCAAAGATTGATCAGAGGGTTTAGGGTTTAGGGTTTGGGGTTCAGGGTTTAGGGCTTAGGGTGTGGGTTGAAAGCTTTTGGTTCAGGGTTAAGTGCTGAACGCCTTTCGGTCATGCATCAAGCAGTCAAAGCACAAATTCCTTGCAAGAATATCCCTAAAGCGGATGTAGGGTTGCTTGTTGTTGGGAGTTCTAGCATGCTCCTTGCGTTTCCCAAACTCATGTCTGCTATAAGTCCTTAGAAAACGGGGTGTTTAAGTTGCTACAGAACGCCGAAGCCTCGAAAGACATGTGAAGGCCAAGTGACCTACCAGCTTGTTGGTGAAGGAGGCGGTCCTGAACTCGGTGTCTCGGTGAGTGAGAGACCCTAAACCCTAAACCCTAAACCCTAAACCCTAAACCCTAAACCCTAAACCCTAAACCCTAAACCCTAAACCCTAAACCCTAAACCCTCA